AAAAAAAAAAAAAAAAAAGAGAATAATAAGTAAAAATAATAACTACACACAATGAACTGCCAAGATGTTTCAAAACAATGCCAGTGAATTTTATTATCCGTATCACTAGTAAGTAAAATCGACGACAACTTAAATAAAACGGGGGATTTATACTATGATTATAAGGTGGCGTGCGACAGCGCGGCGTTTAAAGCAAAAGAAAAAAAAAAAATAATAAAATACTGTTCTTTGTTAGCTCCTAAGAGAAATCCGGCGTAAGTAAGCGGAAAGGGAGAGAGAAAGAAAGAGAAAGAGAGAAAGGGAGAGAGAGATGAGAGAGTGAACGAGAGAGAGAGAATGACAACGCGGGCATATGAATGACATCAGATAAAATAATGACGATGATGACGATTGACTTTTACGATTAGCGCAGCATCTTTCTTCATTTCTACGCGTTTCTTTCCCCTTTTTATCAGCGGACATCGTTTGTTGTTGTCCCTCTTGTCTACACGCTTCTACAAGCGCGCGCACACACACACACACACACATACGATATGCACCAAGCTCTTACCAATACATCGACACACATACACACGTGTTGAATTTTACATACACGTTACACACAGCCAGCCTCACACGTCTTACAACACCAACGTTAACACAAGACGAACATACGTTCACAAGCAAAAACTTTTTCGATCTAACGTTCCAGAGGATCAGGCTGCTGCAGCATCACTCTCGCGAGACTTGTTTCTCGAACATGAGTTTCGCCATCAGAGGGAACCAACCGCTCTCCTGTCAGAATCGGACCCGAGACTCGCGACACGATTTCGAAAGCTGGTTGGTTCACTTGTATTTACTTTTTTAAGCCGAGCAATCGTCCTCGAGAGAAGCGAGAATCTCGAAGATATCTTCGAGAAACGGTGCTCCGATTCCAGGTGTTGCCGGTTTCTTCCGGTTCAAAATTGAACGCGGGCGTCCTCGAGCGAGCGCGCAAGTCTGATCCTTGAAAAATAATCTCTTGCTCTTCGACCGCACGCTATCTCGCCCCTAAATGGCCAAACACACACACACCATTTGCAGTTCGTTCTGTGAAGGTAGCCACGTCAACGGACGTACGGCAGTTGGCCGATTGATTTTTCGCTGTTCTTCGCTGCAAAGT